CTGCGTGAATAATGAGCGGGTCACGAACGCATAAACTACCACAAAGAATAATACCACCCTATCAGCACGATAAGAAGGAGATGTGCAAAGATATTGAACTAAGATTGAATCCACCGGAGGTACAAGCAAAAAATCCAGTACATTTCAACATTTGAAATTGGCGCGCTTTTGGCGCCTTGCACACGTACTTGTCTGGTCCAAAAAAGTATTAACTGTTCTTTAACCCCCCAACGCCCAAGCCGTTTTTTGACGTTATTTCAAATCATCCAACATAGTACTCATCCAACATGTAAAACCGTGCAACACTTGACTTTACTATAGTCTCGTATAATTCCGAGCACCTTTCTTGTACATGCACAACAAGACAATTTCTGCAAATCCCGTCACCATGTTGTATGTACACCAGATCAAAGTTGTATATACACCGGCAGACTGCTTGAATATGGCGTACATCCAGCATGATGGAGGTTTCAAAAAAAGGTGTCGATGTATCTTTTATCAAGAGACTGTACGAAGCCTATCAATCCGGTGCAAAGCCGGGAGGTTTGAAGACAACGAAAAGCGAAACCAAACACACATCAATTGAATACAGTAAGAAAAAGCACATATTGCAGCACTACGTTCATCCACCACCAGTTATCGGCTCACTCAGTCTCGCTACCTTCCCTGTCGTCGTCGTGCGCTACGCTGTCGCTGTCGCTTCCCTCGCTAATACCTTCCTCCTCCTCTCCATCACTACTTCGGCGGCGGCGCTTACCCTTTCCTCCAGCCTCGCGATTCTGGAATCCTCGTCCACATCGCGCCCTGGGGCATTTGGCTCCATTTGCCCACTTGTGATGCCAGATCTGGTGGCCGCTCAGAGCGTTGCCAGGATAGTGGTGCGGCCAAATACGAGTACACCGATACATGCTGTACATAACGAGCAACAGTTAGTAGTCGTTTCAGCCATATCGAATTCGTATGTACCGAGCTTTATCAGAAGTGCTGCAGGCATCGCAATAGTATTTGGTGGCTCGACGCTCTCCCACCCGGCGCTTCAGAATTGCGCACACTTTGCATTGGCGCTGCCGGCGCTTGCGCACGCCTTTCACGATCTGGTACTCAGGACATTCCCCAGGCTCGTGGCCAGGTGGCAAGGGTGGAAGCTCGTCGCCAGCTGCGGTCTCTTGTGGTCCTGGCTGTCAACATACAGCATGTGGGTCATTCAATATGTCAGCATTATCCAACATGATACAGATACAACATCAGGACTTACACTTTCATCGAAGTCGTACTTGGTCAGAGCAAGCAGCTGGGCATGAAGCTCCACTAGGAATTCTGCGTGCGACATTGGAGACCCACCATTTCGCTTATGTGCCTCACGAAAGATGATATACGCATTCACAATCGCCACATCCACAAGCCCCAAGAATATGGACTTGTAGTATTTCTTGCACCAAGTCTGCAACTGCAACGAGTAACGCTGGAGGCGCAGCTGGTCATGGACATCCACGCCCCCCATCCATTTGTGATAGTCTCGAATCATAGCAGGACAAGGGACATCAGTCCGTCTGCCGTGTGTTCCACGTGTACGCCTCTCTAATAACAAGCACAACATTGATTAGATGAATAGGAAACAGCACTCCTCTTGCATATACGTACGACATTCCTCCATCGCACGGCTCGATCCAGTCCCCAAGAATTGCACGGGTTTTCTATCCCACCACACTAAAGCCGTCATTAGGGGGCAAGCTTTTGCCACTGCCATTCTTGTTGTACCGTGCGGTATGCTTTTGGGTCGGTCTCGATTTTTTTCAACAATTTGCTGAGGATAGCCCAGCTTTTGTCACCCATTATCGTGCCGATACTGTAGGCATTCCTATGTAGTAGTTGAAACGCCAGTTGAACTGACGTATAAAATCGATCCGTCACTACAATGTGATAGACGTCATCTTCGGGTGGTGGCAGGACAGCTTCCAAGTTTCGGATAACTGCTGACGGCCCGGTGTTAGGATCTGCAGATCGCTGACTGTCTGGAACGTTGCCTACTTCATGGACCTGCTGCGCTTTGCCACAATACACCTCAAGTCTTCTTGTTGTAGGATACAGCATACAAGCATACAACATTAGATACAACATGATAGACTTGGTCAAAAAAAAACCGCGAGTCCGCAAGGACTCGCAGTCATCTCACCTCATACAGTAGGAAGTATCTGCACAGCACGTCAGAAAAAGCTTTGTGCCCCACTTGTGAGGCTTCGCCTTGAGATATTGATGCGTAGGATTGTTCCGGTTCTTCAGAGGTAGAACGCCCTCATCAAATGATATGATCGGCGGCGTTTTGTAACCCAACGGAAACGGTTCTTGCAGCGTTTCAACGATAGACCTGACTTTCCAGGCGCGGTCAGTTGCTGCTCTCGTGTCTGCGTTGTTGGTGAAGTGAAGATTTCCCATGATGTGTTCAAAGCGGTTTCGCGGCAAAAAATCGTTGAACGTCCCCCGTGGGATAGCTCCCACTGCATTAGTGCCCCAATGATCACGTAACCTGCGGCAATGAGGGTTCAGCATTCTTGTCATCAGTAATCCAAGCGCTTGCAGTATCTAGTGCGGCTTGACGTCCCGCTTCTTGGCCTCGCGATGCAAAAACCACTCTTTGGACTTCTTGGCAGGTGTCTTCTGCGAGCTGAACATACGCTCCACTCGTGAAGTGAGGTTCTGCACAAAGTAGCGATTGGTTTCCTTTGCAACTTGTCTTCACAAACTCTTCGGCATGAAAAAGAAGAATAGCTTGAGCGGTGAGTGTGTCAGGGCCAGTACCTCGTCGGTTGGTCCATACTCCCCAGAATATAATCCTGGGTAATGTTGGTCAGGCGGGAAATTGTCTGGGTCTACATGTTGTATATACATCATATATCATGTTAGAATATGTTGGAGGCTACACCCCTCATTGTCACGAACCGAAGTTCACCCGTTAGCTCGCATGGCAGCCATGTTGGCATCGTCCATCACAAAATCAACCATTTCCGGCTTCTCTAAGACGCTCCACTGCTGTGTCGAACCAGCTGCTTCTCCATCAGCACTCATAGTATCTGATCCAGCCTCACTATCGTCCTCATCACTGTAGTCTTCACCCGACGCAAAGCCCTCACCTTCACTTCTCGCTCGACTCCACTCGTCATCATCATCGTAAAACGTAATCTCGGTCTCTGTTTCCTCGCAATCAGAGTTCAACGCATCAAACTCGTCAGCGAAAGCGGGGGCAGCGATAGGAGAGGCTGAGACCGACGTTCTTTCAGGTGAAATTGGAGCGGAACACAGCGAGGCTGGAGCAGAAGTCGGCGAAACAGGGGTAGAGGTTGCCGCGTCGGGGACAGGAGTCTGGGAAATGGATGCTGAGCTTTCACTATGATACGCACAACGTTAGTATACATAATCAGCATCAAAGACTTTGCCACGTACCAATCGTCTTCTGGTGCTGCAACTGGATATTCAGGAGCTGGACATTCAGGATCTGGACATTCAGGAGGCGGGGGTGGCGCAGGCGCTGCAGACAACGTTCGAGGCGACGGTGCTTCTGACGTATCTTGAGGATCGGTGGAACCCCTGTCGATAGACAATATATGTTAGCTGCTGTTCATGTTGTTTACATGTTGTCGATAACGACGTTGTAGGGAAAGCATAGCGACGCTGTATCCATGTTGTATGTCCCAAATGTTGTATGTACCTGCGCAGCGTACAACAACACTTCGTGAGAACATGTAGTATCTGACAGCATAAAACATGGTGTACCTCTCTGGTGTCCCACTTGGTTGGCGGCTCCTCTTCTTGTTCGCTTCACAAATCGCCTCCAATCTCTTCCTGGCCTCGGCCAAAGCGATGCTCCCTTGTTCCTCGGCATTCGCCGAATCTTCACAGCGCGATTCGGCAGCTGCTGTCCTCGCTGCTTTTGCCGCTGCCTTAGCAACTTGCGACGCGGTGGGTTTTCGTGGCTTCTTGGTCGGGGTCGCCTTCTTGGTCGGGGTCGCCTTCTTGGTCGGGGTCGCCGCGGCCGTCTTCTTCTTCTTCTTCTTTGGCGGCCGTGTCTTGACTGGGGAGTCTGCTGCATCCAGTCGCTCATCGTCTGCATCAGCATCCGCTTCCTCGTCGAACCGATCGGGATCATAGTCCTCATCATCGTCGCTCAAGTCCCTACTAGCAGCCAACCGTTTCTTGCCGGAGCCTGCCAACGTCTTTGCGGCGACAGCACGTTGCTGTTGCGAGATCAAACGTCGCTGCGCACGCACGTAACAGGCATCTTTGCCGATCGGAACCGGAAGCAGAGGACGAGCTGTCGCGCTGCGTGTAGGTGCTGGATCTTCTCCGAAGTCAGCATCCTCCTCTCGGCCGCCAGCCAGGTACGCCGCATGCTCCTTCCTGATGCGCTCTCGGTCGTGCGCAGTTCGGCCATCCAGACGTTGCAGGAACTGCTGGCGTTCGCGGTGTGTTTCTCGAGGCGGGGCCATCGTGCACACGTGTCTCTCCTTCAGGTCTTTTCTCGAAATGAGCTCTCAGCCACCAACCCAGGGGAGAATCTGTATTATTTATTGCCAAAGAGACTGATCTCAACAACCCCAGCCCTGTGCATTCTCAAGTTTGCCCATATTTTGCAACAAAATAGCCCAACTTTTAACATGTTGTACGTACAACCTGTACGTACAACCGTTGGGCGTTGGGGGGTTAAAGGCTGACATGAAATGATATTTGACCAATAACACTGTTTGATTTTGCCGACTATGATCCATTAATACTTGATTGTGGAGGCCCTACAGCCAGGAGATCGACTACTACGTGGAGCCTTCTAACACTACGATCCAGTACTCAACCGAGAGGGATCATGTTGTTGCCAAAATAGTGACTCCACGCGTCCGTGCGTTGTTCGTGATCATTTCAACTGCTCAACACTGGAAGGTGCCGAGATTGAGTCTCAAGACAGCGGCTGTCTTGGTTCTCATTGGGAAGAACGATTGTTCGAGCCGGAGTTAATGACCCCCGTGGACAGCTACCACAACGTCTTCAGTGCTCTCACACTCACGTTCTTCGCAAATTCCGGTTGGTATCGAGTCAATGCATCCATGTCGGAGGTTATGCATTATGGTCGAAGCAAAGGTTGTTCCTTTGCGACGGAAAAATGCATCGATCCAGTGACGCAAGCTCCGATAGCAGCAGATCATTTCTGTACTTCTTCGACGGACTTTCAGGGCTGTTCAGTCGACGCTACGTCTCGCGCGGTATACTCTCTAAACACTAAAAGCCAAACCATTCCGACCGAGTATCAGTACTTTCCCGGTAACCCAAGAAAAGGAGGAACTAATACCTTCGCCGATTATTGCCCGTTAGTTGTGGGCTACACGGCTGGCGACTGCTCCCTTTCCGCCAACCTTCTGCAACTTGGCGAGACTAACGTCAACGTTAGGTGAGACGTACTGTCCCACTTGTAAATGCATACAAACGTCACTCCGTAGCGATGATTCTGCACAATTCTGGACGGTGAGTTCGCCAAGACAAAGTGGCTGCTACGGCATGCGATGTTTCTCTAATGCGAACGCGAGTTTGTTTGTACAACTCACGATTCCACGGAGTTGGACGCAAGATTCTGTAAGTCTAAACTGCACTGGCAAGGGCGAGAAATTTTCCGTGCCAGGCTTTTCTGGACATATCACATGTCCAGACCCGCTGGTTGTGTGTGAAGGAGACGATGCAAACAGTGATCTGCTAACATTCGACGACACTCCAGCTACCACTAACACGAGCAGCGGAACAGGCAGCGGGACAGTCACGACACGAACAGAGACCAATAGCGTTGGATCTCACCAGAGAGCATCGTTTTGGGTGTTGCTTAGTGCATCATGGCTTACCGTTGCAAACATTATGCATGTGAACCGCACTGGACGTGGGTAAGTTCCACTTATAAACGGTCAGCAAATATACCTTCCGGTGAACGGTCAATTGCGAGAATCCCTTCACTCATCGTCAGATAACTGATAAAGGCGCACAAACATTCACGTCACGTAACCACGACGCAGAACCCAAATAGTTCTGAAGTGATGGTGAGGGAGCTTACTAGAATCGGCTGCTGGCTTGGCGGAGCTCTGCTTTGCTGGGTGTTGATATTATCATTCTTAAAAAACCCAGTACCCAGTCAATACCACGCCCACCGCTGCAGCATTTCTTAAAGGAAAATCTGCGTAGAGACTGTTGACGCGCTGTAGAAAGGCAATAGCTTGTTCACCTTCTCTGGCCTCGCCAGCGTCTGTCTGACGAGTAGCCCATATTTGATTTTAAATCAATCTGTTGTGGATACCTTACGTAAGGGTAAATGGCCGGCAAATACTGGCCATTTAGCCCTTAATTTGTTAAAAGGTACCTTTTAGACCAAATCGGAGCCCTTACGTAGGGGCCAGATCAAATCGTGTTTTTGTCGAAAGGATGGAAGGTATTAATACCGGTACTGTACTTAGACGAATTGAAGGCGCGGTTTGAGAACTACTACCAGTATTCCTTTAACCCTCTTTACTCGTTCGGCTGAGGCTTCTTAAGCTCCTTTTTAATGCGAACCTTCTCAAGTTTGATCTCGGCCATCAGCTGGTCGTACATACTGGGGTCGATCTGGTCTTTCTGAGCCTTAAAGTTGCCTTCCACCTCCCGCAGCGAGTCCAGACGATCCTGCATCTCGTCGCGTGTCAAGCGCTTGGGCTCCTTCTTGTCAGCGGCAACGCCCTGGTCGTCCAACACGCCGCAATTGATGATCTTGACGTCGACCATCGGCTTGCCCGAGCGTTTCCCGCAGCTCGAGACGATGTCCACGACGTCCATCCCTTCCAGCACGCGTCCAAACACGACGTGCTTGCCATCCAGCCATGGCGTGTCACCCGTGCAGATGAAGAACTGACTGCCGTTCGTGTTAGCACCTGCGTTCGCCATACTCAGCGTGCCAGGACCCGCATGAGGCACACTCAGGTCCTCATCGTCAAAGCGACGGCCGTAAATGGACTCTCCGCCTCGTCCATTATGTTGCGTGAAGTCACCGCCCTGGATCCTATAAAAAATATGTTTATCTAAGAAATTCTAAAAAATATACATAAAAATAATAGTCAGAGCGTACATGAAGCCGGGGACGATGCGGTGGAACTTGGAGTCTTTGTACCACAGCGGCGGGCCAGCACGAGACGCGCCCTTCTCGCCGGTACACAGCGCACGGAAGTTCTCCACCGTCCGAGGCTGCACTTCTCCGTATAGCCCCATAACGATCTTGCCCACGTAGTCGTCGTTGATGCCGATATCGAAGAAGACTTTGTCGGTCACGATCAGCTCGCCCTTGTACGCAGGGGCGCCGCCCACAGCCTTGACGCCTGTGAGGTCCTCGAGCGATGGAAAAGGTCCGAAGAAGTAGCCGATGGCATAACCACCGCCAAACATGACGGCCAGGCCCAGCGACGCCTTTTGCAGCGACGTAAGACCCGATGGTGAGCTGGAATTGCCAGCGGATGAGCTAAAAGCTGCTGCCTGATGTTGAAAAAGAATAATGAGCAATTAGGATGACGTTCTGGATCAGTATCTCAATGGCGCTACCGCGGAAGAAGGAACAGATGTAGCTAACGTGCCTTGTGGAGCAGTGAGGAGTGCGCAGAACGCTGAGAGCGCAGCAGGAGCTGCGATGGACGCAGCAATAGAGACGCCATAGCGTTAGATTTGATTACAAACGAGGGTTGATGAACCACACAATGTGTTTTGTATACATTGTATACACAATAGTTGCTGTGACCTAAATAAATAATACATTTCATAACTGGTAAAAGCTAATGTCGAAATATCGATCTTAAATTGCCCGGACGACCTTCGCATCCAGGTTTTCTAGATAAAAAAATTCTGATTCGCCATGTATTATTAATCAGCAGGTTTCTTGGAATCAGAAGGCGTAATTTATTTTGGATTAGTATATTTCACTACCAGGGATTTTTCAGGTGAAAGTATCTGGACAATACGTATATGCGGTGCTAAACAAACAATGGAAGTGGTCAGAGCTGAATGTCTCGCAGCCAACCAATATGGTCGAAGGTGGTCCGGGTATTACACCTGACCAATTAGCATGTGTCCGACTTGGAAAAACGATGGAATGGCAATCACTTCATTGTGTCGGCTACAAGTTCAGCAGCACCATAAGCTCAGGTCCTCATCACACAAACACAGGTATTTCCAGGTTTATCCAGTTATTAAACATGTATTGAAAATGTAGACACTAAAGTCTCTTAACTAACGCTACTTCATCTTCAAAATGGCTTGTAGCAGGGCCCAGCGCAGCTTCGTTATGCCAAAACGTGACAGGTCACTTGGGGCTTCATCACCCAGAAAGAGCAGTGACAAGAACACCCCGCAATTGTTGCCATTTTCTGCTTTAGTTCCGTAACACTCACCTGTTCGTGCGTATCTCCTTTCAGTGCCTTCACTAAGATGTCACCCGCCAGCTTGTTTAGCATCCTTCGGTTCTTGATCCCATTCAAGCTGTCGTAAATCTTTACCTTCTTTTCGCTTCTATCCACGACAATGCACGCCCAATGCACACCTCCATGATTAAAACGAAAGGTCGCGAAGATACCGACTGGGCGATCAAATCGATCGTATTTTTTTCATGCAGAGTTTCTCCTCGCCGTTCATCGTTTGTAGGAGGAGGCATCATCACAGTGTTATTGTTCTAGAAACGCGACAAGCTCACTTTCACCGCTCCTCGCGTTGTCGTTTAGCCATTACGAGTCCCTCAAGCAAAATAGATCAGCGTAAGTCAGGTCAAATTCGAACCCCTTTAACGCCGCGTACGACCAGCAATCCAATAACTGTAGTAACGCCACCTGTGACTGTGCAGTGTCATTTTCCTCCTTTTTACAGAATGAGTAAGCCACGTACAGCACAATACAGCTTTTCTGCAAACCGACTGCAAGCCCCAAAGCCATTGCGTGGCTTCCAATTGCTCGCGAGTAAACTGACCCAGTTTTTTAATCGTCATCACAAAGTTATTCAATTACCCGTTCGCTCTCCGTCAATGGCTAGTTCAATCTCTGCTTCTCCATCGAATCTCTCGTTTTTCAGAAGGCTTAGAACGCTGCTGATCTCTTCTTCTGTGATACTCGAGATGGTACAAATTCGTCGTCGGTACTCCACTTTGCCACCCGCTTGTTTGCACGCTTCTTGACTTCAAGAGTGGCCAAATAGGACCCGATTTCACGCACAGCAGGCAATATTCCCCCTAAATGTATTGACTACGTCGCAAACGTCACTTTCACGAAGAAGAACTCTCAGTTTCATCCCTCGGCTGTACTCTTTGAGGAATATTCTGGCATTTTCTCTCGTCTGTGTCCGGTTCAGCTCACCCTTCGAACTTTACCAGAAAGCCGCACGGTTGGTACCAAAGCCCTCGATCCAGTACCATCTTTTACCTTCCCTACGGCTCTCGAACAGGATTGTCCGCAAGTCTGTTGGGTCGTTTCCCTGTATCGCTTCCTTCAAGCTGATCGTCCTTACTATCACCACAAACGACGCCAGAATCCTCTCCTTGCTCTGCTGCAGCTTGAGCCCCCTGTCTCAAGCTGTACCACCACTGTTCTAATTTTTTTAGGGCGGTGCCGAATTCCACGTCTTCAAGTCGCGCTAGCTCACCACCAATGCGAGCAAAAACTTGTTGGGCTCGTCTGTACTTCTCCGGCTCACTAAGACCAGTTGTCGCTGACGCAGCACTCATCTTGACTTTATATGTTTTGACCAAGAGCGGTTCGGGTATCTCGGGTAGATTCACCGGTGAGCTGTGACTCCGTCCAAACCATCTGTTAATCGTGATATGCCAAGCAATGCGTTAGTGAAGTAATGCATAACATCAAAACCTGGCCAAACCCTGGATAAAATCTGGTCAATACCTGGTCAGTAAATGCACTTGCCTGTTTGCAATTGCAGCGTAGGGAAAGACAAACGGGAGTCCACACGTTTTCCTGAATATCATCGCATGTCGACACGGAAGCTGCATTGTCTGGGAAAACTCGAAATCGCATTTCCAGCTTTCCTTCTCACGAAGAAACTCTCGTTCAGTTCGTCTAACAATAACAGTAGCTCCGTTGTCTCTGAAAGCGTAGGAGTCGGAAAGCGATGAGTCCATGGTCACATCGTACTGGGACATGATTGCGTCTGCCACCCAGCGCGTAGTCATTCCTAAGACGACGTCCATCTCTTCAGGAAATGCCACATCGCGCGAAGTTCCTGGCATTTCTACCCTCGACTGATAATCCCTCTCCACGCGTCTCTGGTATTCCAACACGGCTACCAAACTAGCTTTCATTGTAAGCTTGGCTCTCAACGTTAGCTTCAGCTTCCCGAACAGACTTTCCACTCGGTTGTTCGTGTGGTTACTGAAGTGAGGTAGATCCACGCGATGCGCCATCACCCACATTTCTGGGAGAGAGTCCCAGTTCTTCTTCAAGTACCCCCATAGTTCCTTCCTTCCGTCTATGAACGATAAATGTTAACCCCCATTCGATACATTTTGTAGTCAGTAACCGTCCGTGCGTAAGTCGTGTTGGATATATTGTGGCGAGAGCCGAATCCTCGTAGGGGCCGTATTTCTTTGAGTTCCGGATAGTGTTGTGTAGCCATTTAATAACGTGAGCATGGCACAATAGTATACGTGCCTCAGGAATATTATGGCGGATCACCTCGATATCTCTCATGTCTTTGTCGACAATTACAATTCTGACCAGTCGCCAATGTTCGTTAGCGCGCTTGAAATGGTCAAGGTACTTGCCCATGTGCCAATCCGAGTTTGTCTTCAGGAAAGAGTACTGAATCGGTTGGCCTCGTCCGAACTGATCTATAGCAACCATGCTCAATAATAGTTGTATCTGTTCACAATATAAAAAAGTTCTGGAAAACACCTGGATTTCATTACCCAACTCCACCGCAATAAGTACTTACTGGTTGGTCTTATGCGTACAGTCGATTCGGATAACTTCCGGAAAGTTGTACATCATTGCACGCATGTACCCACTTGTGAATAAAATCACACCGGTGTCCCCACGAGCATTTTTGTTAACAGTAGAAACGTTCTTGGGAGACTCAAGATTGAAATCCAAGATATATTTTTTCTGCAACAGCGTCAGTGTCCAATAAGTCCGTGCCTGTACACACGCCAGCAAAGGGTTAAGAGGTGACTATAACACTCTCACGCTGTCCCGAGATTACCTGTGCGCTTCACGCGTGCGATAAGGCTGCGGACATCTCCCATGGTAGCGCGGTGGTTGGAGTTGCTTCGAATGTAGCCATAGATGCTTGTAGTACTGGCCTGCGCTTCCAATAGAACATCTACGCCCGGTATGAGAGGAGAGTCATCGGAAACCTGACGGATACCTGGATAATACCTGTATATATCCTCTGACACCAAGTGGTTGTGTTAGTAGACCTCACGCATTATCATGAGGACCCACGATCCATCCGACTTCTGTGTTCGCTGAGCAAGCATCGGTAATGGACACTCCGTGCGTCGTAACGTGTGTGACGTTCGTTTTCCGGTAGACCTTTCACGCTCCGACCAACCGTGAGTACAAATGTACTTGCGCTGGAAGGGTTGCAGCTCTGAGGGAGCGAGGGGATCGCCGAGTCCGCCCGTCCCTTGAAACGAACTTGAGGGCGGAGTACAGAGTTGCGTCGATCCGTGTGGATGACCTCCTTTATCACAATCTTTTGGTATGTGTTTCTCCATGGATTCGCGCAGCTTCACCTCGAGACTTGCCCAGGAGTCCTGTTCCTTCTTAAAGGCAGAGACCCCAACCAAATACGCATCGTCCACATCCGAAAGTGATCGTTTCTTTCCCTTGCCCACCTTTACTCCAGAAGCCTTTTTCTCAATGTCCTCTTCGTCTTCTTCTTCAGCAGCAGTTGATTCTTCTTCTTCCTCATCTTCTTCTTCCTCATCTTCTTCTGAGGCTTCTTCTTTGGCTTCTGTGTCAGCCTCTTTCTCTGCGTCCTTAGCTCCTGTAGTATGGGGATAACGGGATTGGCACTCGGGCGCGCGCTCGCGTGGATTAAGGCGCGAGCTTTCTCGGAGCGCATTCGCGTGCTTTCAAGGTCTGCAACCTGAGTCTCGTTTCGCCGGCGTACTTTCTCTTCTTCGAGGCGAGCCTTCCCCGCCATCTGTGCCTTGATCATGGCAGTCTTGTGCGTCCGTGCCAAGGTGGAGGGGGGGGGCACTCGCGGGGTCAGGGAGCTGCCACGTGGCTTGTTCCTCCAATCGGTGGTTGTGAGAAAAAAATGTTTTTTCGGAAACAATTTTTTTTTCGCTACCTGGACAAAACCTGTTGTGAAATCTGGATAATACCTGTTTAGAAATACCCGGACGCCAAGCATGCCGAAATTGAAATGTCGAAAGCCTGAAAAAATCTTGATATCTCATCAGAATTAGGTCTGCGGACTAGGATATATTGCCTGTAGTCTTGTCCCATTGAACCAGGATCATGTACTATTTCATCAGAGTGTCAACAAAGAGCTCGAGCCGTTCCTCGTCACGCGTTGTTGAAAACGGCTTCAGAGGTACCGGTATGTCCTCAGCAAGAGATTTGGCTGACCCAATGAGTCTTCAATCGGTTCCAGCTCTTGAGGATGTCATAGTCCTTCTTTTGGGAATTCTATCTGTAGTCTAGGAACTCAT